TACATTTTGCGACTCATTTTATTTCTCTATCTGATAAGAAAACTATTCAATCAGATAGTTATTTGTGGTGAATGAAATACAGCTACACTTTCAAGCACTTTTAAGCACCACATCTGATATTCAAGCACTTTTCAAACCTTGAAAAGACAACATTAAAATCCAAGTATTTTCAAGGAGTTCAAGCACCCGTACGAACCCTGTAATTTCAATGCTCCCCTCTGGGCGGCGCCTCCGCTGCATTTCCTGCAGGACTGAGAGGAGGAGCGCCACCTTTGTCCCCAAAGCCCCTCTGCTTTTTAGCTCCAGCCGATAAGAACATTTCCAACACCAGAAACATAAACTACTCTACACTCTTTATACTGCCGACACTTTACTCCATTTTAGTCACTTACAGTTATTTATTCACCTTTCAGTCACTTTAATTTTGAAATTGTGTACTTTTAAAACTGTGTATATCCTGTGTATTTATTATCTCACTCTTTTTCCCTGTTTAGGCACTGTCCTTATCTTCAATGTCATTCTGCTCTGTTGTATCTTAATTGCCCCTTGGGGATAAATAAAGTCTCTCTGATTCTGAAGTCTGTGTGTGGGAAGCCATGTTTTAGCAGTATCAGTTATGTTAAATGTGTTAAATATGAGGATTATCAGTTAGATTTAACCTGAAACCTTATATTTTATTCTGAAGCACTTAAATCTAACCAGCTTTAAAGGCGCTGCAAAGTCTAACTGAAGGCCCAACAGGTTTAAGATTACAGGCTGAAAATGTTCTTGCATGAAGCCTAAAGATATATTGTGTACACTATTCTGACCGGACTGTTGTGTGTGTGATATGAGGTGGAAGCAGTTTTTCCCAAGCTGCTCTGGTCTTACTGCTCTGAGGGGACGACGACTCGCTCTCCGTGGTCGACCAGAAAGCAACAAGCTTGACAGGAAACCGAGTCCACGAAGATCGACTCCACCATGGCCCGAAACCACGACTTCTTTACCGCCCAGTACACCACATACACCTGACAGGTAAGCAGACACAACTCTCCTTACTCTATCACCTCGCCCAACACAGGAGCGACAATGTTTCTGACGTCTTGATACCCGTCCTTCCTCCAACGACGTAGGCTTTAGCGTGCACACGTCCTGCGTGGTGTCGCGGTAGAAGAGGTTCATCTGAAAATGTAGCTTTTTGTAATGTTCTGAAGTCTCCACATCGCCGCTGAGACCCCAAATGGCACCCCAGAGACACGATGGGTTCTCCACCTGCAGAGTTCAGTTTGAAGTACACATCATCATCACTGTGCTGCATAGAAAGGTATGTTTTGCACCTCTTGATGCTCAGCTTGAACTTCACTTAAATACCTAACTTACATTTTGACAAATTAAAGGAAAATAAAGTCTTCAATCTTTGCATTTCATTATTACACTTATTTTGTTTCACCCTCTCCCAGTGACATGTGACAAACTTCCCACGTGGGGAACTAATAAAGTCTATCTTCTGTTATAGAGGTGACAAGTGATCACAGCTGAAACACCTTTGTGATAAGTGATATTTTAAAGGTTTAACCCTTTAGCACATGAATCATGACAACCACAATCAGGATTTTTTTATTCATCTTTAGGCATGTAAAGACGGTTTTTGAATTTCTTTTTTTTTTTTTAAACATACTTTTCTAAGATTTGGGTTGTTTTTTTTTTACATGTCCACTTAGGTGGCTACCACTCCACGGGCTGACCAGGGGGTGGCAGAGTATGAAGGGACACATATGTGTCCAATGTAGTGTTTTATGTGCAAATATACCATCAACACTGACACAAATACAAGAAAACAGCCTTTGAATAGCTGTCCACTGTAGTGACCACTGTGCGTGAAAGGGTTAAATACACCAACTACATCTGCTGGGCATCAAAACTCAACCCGTGAGCCACGTTTAGCTAATTAAAGCAGTAACACAGCCATTAAAGGCTCACGTACCTTCAGAACAGATATTTTCACCATTTCTTTATTTCGTCAGTCCCACAGCAGCGACACTGGAAGAAAACGGTCGGATTTAACAGATTTACCGTTTCTCGAACGCCAACTGTTTAAACTTGAGCCCCGTTAGCTAACGTTAGCTCGCCAGCTACGCTCCGTTTTACTGAAATTTCAAATGATAAAAAGAAGAAGAAACATTTTTCAGTCTTCGGTTAAAACAACTTTTTCCCTGTAACTTGTTTCTGTTTAGCGTCGAACGTACCTGTTTGTGGGCGAAAGCAGCAGCGAGTGTAAGGCGCGAAGAAAAGCAGACGGAGGGGTCAGTGCCGAGTCTGACCGGTAGAGGGCGCTGCGGTGCCAGCCTTTTCCTTATTGTAAAAATTTTATTTATTTTGTATTCATTTTATCCATTAAAATATGTTCGTGTATAAAACATGATTGAAGAAAAGGCTGGGAAATTTACCAAATAAATTCCAAGAAAAAAGCTTAATTTACAAAAAAAAATAAAATTAATAAATGAGAATAAAAAAGATTAAGAAATTCCTATAAAAATATATATTATAATAATAATATAATATAATAAAATAATTTTAATTTAAAAGAAAAAAAAGCCATAAAACCCGATTCCCTAAGAGGAAAAACCCACAAAAAAGTTAGAAAAAAATCGTTAAAAAAAGGGGGGAGGCGGAGGGGGATCTATACGGAAGAGGATTAGGGCCACTGGAAAAAAAAAAGAATTCTGACGTTAATCTCAGAATTCTGAGATTAATCTCAGAATTCTGACTTTTTTCTCAGAATTCTGAGATTAAACTCAGAATTCTGACTTTTTTCTCAGAATTCTGATTTTAATCTCAGAATTCTTTTTTTTTTCTTCCAGTGGCCCTAATCCTCTTCCGTATCTTCCGTACAAAAGAACTTCCCTCGGGATAAATAAAGTTCTTATATTATCTAGGCCGTGCAGGTGCGCTCTTCCTCCTGTCCTCCAGGGGGCGACGTGGAGGTGTATGTCCGTCATCTGAACAACGGCAGGAAAGGAGGAAGAGAAATGGGGGAAATGACATTACAAACTGGCATTGAATTACTGGGCAAGTTTACAAGGACATGGTCAAGATCATCCGACAAAAACTGTTTTCCAACCATGCTGGGATAAAGAGAAAGGTGAACTGAAGAGCTTTGGGTGGACAGTGGGACAGAAGGCAGCTGAACTTAATCTGGACAAGATCAACATAAGTCAAACAGCACCCTTGCCTACAATACCACCATGGATGCATCCTGATGCAGTAGCATATTTCACATTGTTAAACAAAAAGAACAAGGAGAGGGGTTTATCTTACATTCACATACAGTGCAGGAATATATTAATCAGTATTGTAGTTATGTCAAAATCTACATAGATGCATCAAAGAATACAGCCAACCAAAGCGGGATAGCATTTATTGTTCCTGAATTTAATATCAAAGTAGGGAAATGGATCAGTGATGATTTATCAGTGTGCACAGGAGAAATGGTTTCATTATTGTTAGCAGTCCAGTGGGTTGAAGAAACAAAACCACTAAGTTCTGTGATATGTTCAGACTCAAGCTCATCACCGGCCGGTCTGCAAGACAGTCACTCAGAATGCAGACTGACATTCTGATAGAGATCCAGCAAACATTATTCAGAATAATTATGATGGGGCTTGTGGTCACATTCTTATGGTTACCAGCACATCATGGAGTTAAAGGAAATGAAACGGTAGATAGGACAGCAAAAGAAGCAACAAGGAGACCGATGGTAGGTATGGATATTAGTGTTAGTGGGACGGAGATCGAGAGTAGAATGGGATACAAAATGAAGGAAAGGTGGCAAAAGCAAGGGGAGGAGGAGAGGAAAGGGCGATGGTTTTACAAAATCCAATTTTTTGTCATTTCGGTCCACACTCCACACCAGCTGGTGGCGGTAGTGCACCATTTTGCTGTTTGCCAACTGCCAATAAACCCTATAAAGAAGAAGAAGGAGGAAGCGAGTTAACGTTATGGAGGCAAAAGCGAACCCTGGTAGCTAGCGTCCTACAGTCAACAAAGGCAACTTTAACCCGCTGTGGCGCTCAGCTGCATGGAGAACAAAGCGCCTGAGCTGCTTAACGCGGTTCCTCCTTACGGACACATGATCTGCAGCGACAAATGGAGAAATTCATCCTTCATTCAGGGTTTGAAAGGTAAATAAGCACCACGAACCCGGAGTAATAAATATTCACCAAAAATCAGACGAGAACCCGCCTTTAACGTTTTATTATAAAAGTACTGACTTTTAATGCTTTTAAGGTTGTGTTTATGGGGGGTCAGTGGAGTTCTGCATGAAACGCAAAACGCGTGTAGATGTGAAGCCTTATTTTATAGTTCCTGAATTATTTATACTGTGTTAAGTATAGTTTATTTTCAATAGAACATATTTTTTGATGCCAGAGTTTAATGTTAATGTTCAAATATGATGATAATAATATTTTCAAACAAATTCATGCTCTCAGAATTTATTATTAAACTTCAGCTACACTTTTTAAATGATATATTCATAAAACTGATAGTATCAGATATTTGGCCTAAAATTGAATGACATAGCTTACGTAGCTCTGTAAATATAGCTATTTGATTTCATCACAAAAATCTGTATTTTATGAGCAATAACAGCAGAGGGCTAAAACTTGGCAGTTTTTCTCTTATTAAGATGTGAATAAGTGAGGTGGTCAGACTGGAAGCATTTGGTGAGTTGACATAAAGTACAGTGCTTTAAAAGCGTCGTGTCGATGTGCAGAACCCAGCAGCACAAACGGCTCAATTTCCCTGTGTTTAAACTGTCCAACAACACTCGTGAGGTTCAGTACGGTGAAATGCCTCAGTCACTTTATTACTGATCAAATGAATGATGACGACGACACATACAGACAGCGGTGTGAGTTCTATGTGCAGGAAAATTCAGCTTCTCTTCAGTTTCAGTTAAAGCGGCTTTAATTGCACACCGTTATATACTGCCCCCTTGTGGTCGTCTGACGCGCAACGTAGAATGCAGAAGCCGCATGTTGCATGTAATGATGCAGTGAGGGGGCAGTGTCAGTCAGATGTTTGTAGCTGTGGGTGTTTGGACTTTTAAAGCACTTTTAAGAAATGTAATGTTTGCTTTTAGAGAAGGACTGGATGGCTCTAGTTACAGTATGCTTTTAGCACTCACAGATCCACACACAGTGAGTGCTTCCCGCTCTGGCTAAAGTGTTTGTGTATTTAGTGCAATGAATTTGCATCTGCTGCAGGTGGAGGTGTGAAAATCATCTTTGAGACTGAGCTCGGAGTGGCAGATTTCCTCCTGCCCAACAAAAGCAGTGTCCTCTACCTCTCTGAGTGTGACATCATCGCAGGAAGCAGCTACAAGAGGAAGGTGGTTCGCTACAGGAACGTAAGTGTGATGTGGAACCTGGAAGCTTCTCGATGATGTTCAGGTTGATATTGGAGGCGCTCCTCGTGTTTGTTTTCAGGCTGGGAGCAGCTTCCAGGAGCTGGTGTTGGTGGAGAAGACCAGACTCAGCGAGCAGTACTTCCCCGCTGTGCAGAAGTTTGTGGTGTTTGACCTCGGCCTGTCTCTGCTGCCCATCAGCGGGCAGGCCGACGCCTCACAGCTCATCACTCAGATGGTAAGATTTCCAGAGTGTGTTGATTTTTAGTCCTTAACTCTGGGTTACGGTACATAAAATCATTTTGCGTTGTTTTTCTCTATGATGTCACATTTTGTAAATGTGTGTCATAAAAATATTGCATTAAGTTCATTTTCATAGACAACGGTCTGCTATACAGAATCACATCAGTGAGAGCTCAGGATTAACACAACATAAGGGGAATTTATTCATACGTGACTTTTTGTTTTACAGAGACATAATGAAATATGATGAAAACATCTGAGTCACAGGCGCTGTAAACCCTGCGTAACAAAAAGGATTCAAACCAATCAGAACAAAAGACACAGATCAAAGCTGGCCTTCTTGTTGAATTTGAGGCTTGTTCTTGTTGTCTCCAGGTTCACGGGGAGGGTCGGGAGAACCCCTTCAGGAGGAAGAGCTCGTCCCGCCTGCTGGACCCTCTGGTCCTGGCTCTGGTCCAGCAGATCCCCGGGGTGGGAAAGGTCAAAGCTCTGGTGCTGTTGCGGCACTTCTCCAGCATCCAGCAGCTCTGCAACGCCTCCCCCGCCGAGCTGGAGCCCATCGTGGGCCAGGCTGGCGCTCAGCAGATCCATAGCTTCTTCCACAAACACACTGCTGGGACCTGAACAGCTCAGTTCAGATTACAGTGGCCAAAATCCAGCCTTGAGACTGAAGTTCCTGCAGCATCGATTCACACTGAGAGACAGCAGTCCTGGTTCCCAGAGCTGAGATGTCTGCATGAGGAGGCTGAAGAAACAGTTTTTACTCTGGCTTGCAGTTGCTGGTTAGGTTGAAGCAATAAAACCTGCACGGTTAAAATGAGGTAAAGGTTGGCGTTTGGGGGAGAATAACCCCGTCGCAGCAGGAATCCTGATCCATCTCACTAATAGAGAAAAACCTTAGTGGATCAGGTTTAAATTGATGAGTAAATCGGATTATTTGACACCCCAGGAATGAGAACAGTCACTGGACGATCAGGGCCATCACTCCTGATCAGAGCCGGGTGACCATGACCAGCACAGCAAACAGCACTTTTCACAGTGGTGCCTCAGGTCAGACACGCTCCTCATATTCATCGACATTCACAGTGTTTGCGTCCTGAGATGTGTGAGAGCGAAGGCTTCCTGCAAACTGCCTGACGTGTGTCGCTCTAAACCAGGCGCCAGGCTGGGCTGATGCAAGAATTACTCGCACATTTGTGTCTCTGAGACGACGGTTTGCAGCGCAGCCTTCAGCGTGAGCAGGAAGCGTTGGAGGCAGCGTTAACCTAACATGTTGCCCAGTGTGTTCCCGTGTGCAGGCGCAGGGAGCACCTGCCAACTGTCACTGGCCACAGAGCTGAGCATGAGCTAATTCCACGACTCGGTTCATGTGCCGATTTTTACTCTGCATTATTTATTTTGACCTGAATGATGGTTCAGTTTTAAAGGACGGACTCGGACATCAGTTTGCCTCCTGAGCAGAGAAAAGTTTCCAGATTTTGAATGCATGCAAAACTGTTTTCTACAACTGTGAAATAAAAACAAAAACAAAGTTTCGCATTTTTTCTTTTTATTGCTTTAAAAATACCTGAAAGTATTATTCTGATGAAATGAGCTGCAGTTAATTCCTGTGTGACTGACTCATTTCAGTCTGAGGATACTAACACATGCACAGACTGCACATGTTGGGGTGTGTGTTACACTGTACTCTTTGAAATTTGGCACACTCGACTACATTAATATTTTTAACTTTATATTACCTCATCTTTCTTCTATATATTTTCAAATGAGCTACTGACAATACTTTTGAAAATATGAAATGTCTTTAAATCCTTACAGAATTGGGGAGTTTCTTTCCATCACTGAGACTAAAAGAAGACTGTGGTCCTTAAACGTCTTGCACTAATCCCTTTCGGCAGGACCGGGAGAAGGTGAGAGTGCTCGGGCCGTTTTCCTCTCGGTGTCCTTGAACGCCTCTTGGTGAGTCCTGGGTATTTAACATTCTACCCTGGACAGCGGCAGGTTGTTGCGCAAGCGCAGCCCATTCAGTCTGCATGAATGCGGAGTGAGGAGAGGACAGGAGCACTGGGAGTACTGGGACTGGGAGGATCGGACCGGACCCGGGTAGGCGGACATGGATGGACAGAACAGCGGCAGCATCTGCTCCCGGCCGCACGGCACCGGGACGCACGGCAGGAAGAAGGAGAAGAAGATCCCCGACAGAGTGACTCTGAAGAAGGAGATCGGGCTGCTGAGCGCCTGCACCATCATCATAGGTGAGGCTGAAAAACAAGGAGATTCCTTCTTCTTTTGATTTAGTGCAGCAGAACTTTACATAAAACTCGTTCTTTATCAGAGCTGTGCTGAAACGGACCAGCTCCTCTGTGGCTGATTAGAAGCTGAAAGCTGCACAGGAAACTCACAGCTTGTGGGGGTAGAAAAATGAGGGAGTCCATATTTGTTGTGGGTTCACATCAAATTGAGTTGTAGTGCTTACGTGGCTGAAATACATGAAGTCCAGGAGCAGGCTGTGGTGAAGCAGAAGATCATTGTCTGCTGGAGCAGAAGGAGAAGCTGGGAGCTTTAAAGAGGAGCATCATCCAGGGTGGATGGAGGGGGGAGGCCTGCAGGAGCTCAAGTCTGACTTAAAACTACTGTCAGCTTCAAACGGGCTCTTGTTGTTCCTCCGTTTGATGCTGGGCATGTTTGCAGTGAGCCAATCAGCATCCAAACTGCTTGTGGTGCGCAGAAAAGAGTTTATCTAAGCTAAATGAGTACTTTTTAAAAAATATATAAACTGTGTTTTTCTGCTTGGCACACAGACACAAGGAGGAACTTTTATATTGTACTGAGCCTCATACATGGCTGTAGGTTTCCTTCAGCACTGGCAGACAGAATCCTTCAGGGACTGAGCCTGGTGCTGAAGTGCCAAAAAGTGCAGTTCCTCTAATGTCCACTTGAGGCAGATACTCTCATGTTAAACTGTCCAGCTTTACACGCAGAGAAATAAACTTGTTTACAGCCTGAAGTTTCTGTACAAAGGTTTTATCCACAGAATGTTGGACACAGCCAAGAAGTGGATGCTGCGCACTATGGTGGCCTCAAGATCATTGACGGTGGGCTGTGATGATGAGAGCGTAGTCTGAAAGCAAAGGTGCCGATCTGCATTCTTACCTACGTCTACACTCACAAACTCTGAGTGGGGACTGTGAGAATGACATCACAGATACGAGCAATGGAAATGAGCCTCCTCTCCAGGGTTTCTGGGCTCTCCTTTAGGGACGAAGAGCGAGGAACTGCCCACACTGAAAGAAACCAGTTGCGGTGATTCCAGGGGCGTAATTTCCAGGGCGTTAGGAGGGTTATGGCCCCCTCAATAATCAGACCTGGAGGCCTCCTGGTGAGGTGCTTCTGAAACGAGTTCCAGAGCAGACCCAGGACTCTCTGGAGAGTCTCTTGGCTGCAAACATGTTTATTTCTGCACTGTAAAAAAAAAAGAAGTAATATAAAAGTATTTTACTGTGTGCTTTTAATGATATTTTAGAATATCATTAAATTTACATAAATAGATTGTGATTTTACATGTCAAATGTAAAACAACATAAAATCACTGTAAATGTGCTGTAAAATGTGTAGTTTTTACATGAGTCTGTGGGGACGCACTCACTGCTGGAGCCAGGTTCAAGAGGACCGCCGTGGTGGCTTTAGATAGCACAGAGGAGCAAAACAGTGAAGTGGATCAATGCAGGGAGGGGGCTGTGGTTGGTGTATATGTCGGCAGAACTTTGGACTTTAACACAGGATTTTGTTGTTTTTTTCCGTTTTCAAACCAACAGACTGACTGATTTTGTTTTTGTGCATAAACCCAACCATACATACCTGTGCCATATTTTACTCTCCCATTAACGTCATTTAGGATGTATAGGGATAAATGACCTTTCTCTTGTGAGGGACAGAAAGTAGGCCCACGGCTTAGCAGCGTGGAGTAGCAGGTTTTCCTTAGTAGGTAACGAGGGGCCAGAGCATTAACGGATTTGCTAGTGGAGCTTTGTAGGTGGGGGTGATATGTTCCCAGAGGTCAGCGTGAGTTAGAAGCCTGGCATATAAGTTCTGCACATACTGGAGCTGGAAATCTCTAACAGAACTTCATTGTAATAATCGAGGTGGAGACAGAGGCACGGAGGAGAGTCTGCTACAGAATCAATGAGTAATGGCCAAAATCGAAAGGTGTAAAAAAGCTGCTGTGGTGACAGATATGATGAGCGTAGCGTCCAGAACAACACCCAGATTGCAAACCTCGGGGTTCATGTCAATGAGAAGATTTTTAGTCTGCCGGAGTCGGACTCTGGGGCTCACAACCAAGAGCTGTGTTTTATTTCTGTTGAGTTTGAGTAGGTTAGATGACATCCGTGTTTTGATTTCATGCAGACAGTTGCAAGTGATTGTGGGAGGAGCTGAGTGGAGGGTTAGGTACTGAGATAAAGAGGTGTATCATCAGCATAGGATGTAAGCACAAACTATGGTGGCAGATGATCTGACCAAGGAAGAAAGACAAGAATCAGATCTGGAGTCATTCACAGCCCTGAAAGTCTCCTTTTCTATTTGCTGTCTTACAAGAGTCACTCTAAGTTATCACGATGGGTTATTTTAACCTTGTGGTCTACTAGCAGGCACAAAATGCCTTCTAACAGTATAGCTTAAATAAAAATAAAATAGCTCAATAAGGTAAAAACTCCACAAAAGAAGGAGCAGAATTTAATAGAAATGAAATAAATCTTTAACAAGTCACCAAGAAAAAACTGTAATAAGGATCTTTATGATGCAGGGAAAGATTTTCCTCATCTGTCCTTGTGGCAGCAGAAACAGATGTTAGAGGAAGTATTCAGATGTATGTCTAGCTGTTCACCACAGTCGTGTGGATGGTCTCTGCATCAGCTGATGGAGGAATCTAAGCAGTGATGGGGGGGAAATTCCCTCATCAAACAATATGGATGCATTAGCCGGAAGTTTAACATCCGAGCAGCAGTAACGTTCAAATCGATTTCTATTTTATATTTTTATATACAACGCCAAATCACAACAACAGTCTCCTCAATGTTCCTTCATGGTCACGTGTCCGGGTTCATGCTGTTATTCCAGTTCCTCAGTTCCTTCTTACCGCTTGGATTAACGTCCCTGTCCACCCAAAAACTCCAAAGGCCTGGTACCCACACTGTGTCTGTGAGGTGTGAGTGCAGCCATGTCTCCATGAAACACATCAAACTACACTCATGATGAGTCTCTATCAGCTCATCCATGTTATTATCCAAGAAGCTCACATGGTTTCACCTCAGGGTAAAAACACAATGAGTAACTAAAATGTGTTTTATAGGCTTAAACAAGCTGCTGTGATAGGCCGACACTCTGCACACAACGAAACATTTCTGTGGTTTAAAGCAGCTGTCTTTCATTTCTTTTTCACCACAAGTGATCAGTTCAGTTTTCCGGTGTGTAATGAGGATTCCAGCTGTTACGGCCGACCTACAGTGGTTTTATTATCGAGTAAATGGAGTGCTCCAAGGCATTGAACCCAGGCTGCTAACCTGCTGCCTCCGTGGATGTTGGTGCAGGTCTTGGCTAACTGGACCTCATCCACACTTGGCTTTATGTTTTTTCCCTCCAGAACAAGAGGAAGGTTTTGTGTGCAGAATGCTGAAACACCTTTCCATTCACAGAGAGACGGAGGGAACAAACTGGCTGCTCTGCGCGCTGCAGGAAGCTCTGCATCTGAAGTCATGTTTCTGTAGATTAAAACAAACTCAAATCTTTTTTCTTGACCTTTTAATCCCTTCAACGCTGACATGTTTCAGAGAGGAAGCTGCAGGAATGAGCTGCTGCAGAAGGTGAGTCGGTCACTTCCCACCTCTGCAGACTGGAGTGGATAATTTATGTCTGGTTATGTAATGGCTGTGTGTGCCACTTGGCTGCCTTCTGCCACGCTACTGGTAGTGCTGTAGACTGAATGTGTCGGATCTACTGGTACTCCACGCTGCATACTGAGGCTCTGGGCAGGAGGAATTGTTCCCATCCTGAGTTATGGCCTGTATGTCCTTCTCTAACTCACTCTGTTATGGAGCTCTTTGTGTCTTTATGTCCTCTATATAAACTCAGAGGGGACCAGTTTGGACTTTGGAGCAGTAGAAATGTTCAGGATGTTCTCTGACAAAGAAGTCACATGTGAGAAGCACGTGCAAGAAGGATGGTGCTATGTGACCAATAAGAGAACAATCAGGACCCTGTGGGGTCTCTACCTCCAGCTTCATTCTTTGCATTGTTTTCTGGGTCTCATTTACTCTTTTTTAGTATTTGACAGATTTCTGGACTGATAGCAAGCAAAAGCCAAATTCTCCTGAATGTATCTCATAAAGCTTGAGG